GAGGGGCCTGTTTGAATCATGTACATGCACAACCCAGAAGTGTCAGCGAGTTAATGTTCCGTGGGACAATCCTCAATGAATGGGGGATCAGAGTGAATAGATAAAGTACTTTTTGATCTCAGCCTCCATAGGTTTTAGATTGATAGCCAGCTACTTTTCTATAATGATGATCCAATTAATAAATTTTCTTCTGTATTTTCCATCCTTTTTGTTTCTATACATGATTTGGTCTAGATGTTTGCATCTGATTTATCTTCCAGTTTACGTATTCTATTCAGCTGTATATATTCTGATTTTAAACCCATATTGAAATCTTAATTGTAGGTATTTTGTGTATTTTGATTCTAGAATTTCATTTAAATATTTACTACAGTTTCCAGTTGTCTGGTAAAATCCTCCTTTTTGTCATCTACTTTGTTGAATATATTAATAACAGTTATTTTGATGTCAGTGTCCGATAACTCTAGTATCTGAATCCCTTTTTGGTCTATTTCTTTTGTCTGTTTTGTCTTCTTGGTTTTCAGCCACGTGGTCTTGTTTCCTCACACACTGGATAATTTGTGTTTGAATGCTGAAGATTGTCTATGAAAAATCAAAGACATAACTTGAGGCTCTGAATGATTTATCTTCTTGTAGAGAGGATTCCTTTTTGCTTACGCTGGGAAATTGTGGCCGGGGCAGGTCATCTTAATCTAGTTGATAATCGAGCTGGATTGAAGCTGAGCTTCAGTCTTTTTGATGGCTATTCATTTTTGCTCCTAGTGTGTAGTCATTTAGTTTTCAAACTGAATGTCTGGAGTACTTTTAACATCTTCATTGAAGTGTCACTTACGTAACATAATATTTACCCATTTCAAGTGTACAACTCAATGAGTTTAAATCAATCTATGCAGTTGTGCATTTATTACCACGATACAGTTCTGAAACATTTCTGTCCCCCAAAAAGTTCCTTTGTGCTGATTTTCAGTCAATTCCTGCTCCTACCTTGAGCCCCAATGCCTGAGGTCTTCAACAGAATCCTTTCCTATTCAGTGGTCACTGAATACGAATGCTATTCCCTAGGCCAGTAAGGTGATGTGAGTTCCTCTAAGCTCCTCACCCTCTCCGTGTTCTCTTTCTTCTCAGCTTCTTAACCATTGATATTAAATTAGTAATAACTCTAAGGGGAAAATGGTTTCTCAGATTTGTCCTTTCTCTTTGGGATATTGATTTCTTAAGTCCTTAGTGCCTCAGTAGCTCCTAGTGCTTTTAAATATATATCTCTTGTATTTTAATAAGTTTTTTAGCTGTTTTTAGTGTGTGTTGTTCTGCAGCAATTCAGTCGACTAACTTTGAAAGGCAGTTTATATACATATATATATATATAAAATTTTTTTTTTGGTGAGGAAGATTAACCCCGAGCTAAGATCTATTGCCAATCCTCCTCTCTTTTTTTGCAGAGGAAGTTTGGTCTTGGGT